ATTAAAACCTTGATGTCATCTCTGAATCTTCCTTTGCCCAACCACTTCCTCTGCATCAAATGAGGTATAAACAACTGAGTATTTCTCAGACTCGTATGAAGAAAACATGTCTTCACTTGTCTGAATGTTCTTGTCTCTAACTCTATATATTGCAAGAGAGAAGGGGATTTCAAAAATGGAAACTATTAGCTTTTCTTTCCAGAACCCTTCCAGGATTTCACCGGGTCTTTTGGCCCTTCTATTCAGTGTCTTTATGTAACACCTTGAGGAGTGACTTGGCTCTTGTTTTTTCTTCCAAGACCCAGACCTGGAGTTCTATTGATTGTTTCTCTTGTAAAGTTCTTCAGACGTTATCATCGTTTCTTGGTACCTCTCCAGTGCTCTGTCATTAAACAGGATGTTCTAGGCTTTTCTTTCACCTAGTTGTGGTATAGTGGAATGTGTACTGGCCTTAGAGTCAGAGGACTTGAGTTCAAATCTTTCCTTTGTCATATACTACTTATGTGACCTTAATAAAGTTACTCAATCTGCAAGTAAAATAAGAGGGTTGGACTACACTGACCTCAGAGTTAACTTTCTGTTCTAGCTGTATAATTCCTATCATGCCCCAGGGTAGGGTGCTCTCCCACAAAGTGCTCTGGCTATGGCTCCTAAAGGGGCCTATGCTTCTCAATCTCTTTGACTCATTATGTCCTTACTCCATAGTTCTGGGGGAAGAAGTCTCCCCTATATTTAAACTAAATTTTTATTGATAGATTTTGCATCATCTACATTTCCTAATGTATTCCTCTCTATTCCCTTTCCCAGAGAGTTGTATCTTAAAACAAATATATATTTTTTTAAATTTAGCAAAATAAATACATCAGAAAGTCTGACATTATAGAGAGTTCTATATCCATAATAACTCACTTCTTCATTTGGTGCCAAACTTGGTAATTAAATTTCACAGCATTACTTTCTTCTGTTTTATTGTTGTTATTTCCTTTTCTATTTTTGTAGTCATTTTATACATTATTTTCCTGGTTCTGCTTACTTCATTTACATCAGTTAACATAAGTCTTCCTGTACTTCCCTATATCCCTCATTTCTTAAAACACAATACTATTTGCACACACATATATATAATATATATAGATATACATATATGTATAGGTATATGTATATAGGTATATCACCACTTGGTGGGCATCTACTTACCAGCTCTTTGCTACTGCAAAAATATTCTCCTATAAATATTTTGGCATATATGGGACCTTTATTTTTGTCATTAACCTCCCTGAGGTATCTGCTTAATAGTGTAATCTCTGGCTCAAAAGGTCAGGACATTTTAATCACTTTTTTAACACAATTCGAAATTGCTTTTCAGAGTGGTTGAACCCACAGCTCCACCAAAAATGCATCAGTATTTCTTCCATACCTCTTCCAACATTGAAATTCTAGTTATGGTCAAAGTGAATCTAATCCTATTTGCATAGGAATTGTGATGGGTATTGATGATGTGTCTCCAAGGGTGTTAAAGCATAGATCTTCAGAGTTTTGGTTTCTTACCTTGTTAAAGTGACTGGCACCCTTTTACGGTGTCTTGGTGTATAACATACTTTTTGTACCATGCAATCCTATCAGCTTTTACAGAAAACTGAAGTCTTGGCTCCATAGTGCCTCCTTTAGGTTTTAAATTTCCACAATTGCCCCTCATTTTTTGGAGGTTCACTAAACTCTAAAACCCCTTTGAAGGGGGCTTCATTCACTGTCACCATTCTTTTATATAGGATCATAGACATAGAACTCAAAGGGACATCAGAGACCATCTCTCCCAACCCTCTCATTTTACACATGAAGAAACTGAGGCCCAGAGAGGCCCAAGGTTACACAGGTAGTTAGCATCAGAGATAGAATTTGAACTCATGTTCTCTAGCTCTCATACCCCATGGTCTTTCAGTTGCTTTTCTTTCTTGTTCCCTTGTAATAGCACACCAACCTGTTAATCAATTCAAAGAAGAATTTTCTCTGATGTCCTATAGGGGAAGATAGAGTAAGGGTAAGGGCACAGTAAGAGATTAGAAACTTAGTTCAGCTTGAAAGGTTCCTGTCATTTTAATCTAGGTCCTCAATACCAGCTATAGAATATATACCTATTCTCCCTAGCTTCTTATTCCTTGATTTTCTTTTTCTTGATCTGCAACTTCATATTAACTAATTTAGAATTCTATCACCATAGAATTGACTGGTCAGGGTGCCATTTATAACTCTTTGGAGTCTTTTCTACCAGTCTGTAACACAGCATGTGGGAGTCTGGGACCTTGACAAGACCTTTCTTCCAAAGGGTCTTTCAGTCCAATCATCTCTGGATCAATTACCCATCAGCCCACTGGGCAAAACTTGGACAAGCTTCTCTTTAACCTTCAAACTTGTTGATTACCAAAGGACATTTTCCCAATCTAATGTCCCTGGGTTTCAACCTTTGATAACTCTGGAGATCTATATGCCCTGGCTCCCTTTGTCCCATCTCTGTTCTTACTGTTCTGCTGGTTCTGTCCTTGATGGAAAACATCTCTTCTATGTGGGCCTTGGACCTTGTGGCCTGAGTGCTGATGCTGTCCATTTTCTATATCCATGAACTAATGCTTCTCCCAAATTCTTTCTCCACTTCTGAACTTGAGCTCCCAGATAGCTCTTCACTACTGCCTGAACAAAGCTGACAGATTCACCTGAAAGCCAACTGAGATTGGACAGCCTTCCCTAGTCCTCAGCTAGAGAGCCACCATTTCCCTCTCCCTCCCCCAGGGAGGCTTTAACAAAATTATTATAATCATTAGATATCACACCATTACATGGATATATCAAAGTAACATATATCTGTCCTGCCCCCACCTCTTTTCCCCAACCCCCAGGAATTGGTATAGGTAGGGTCATCTTGCTGGTTACTAAGTTCTTGATTCTTCCATCACAATCTCTCTTTAATCCATCTTTTCTATTCCCTCACCTCACAACTGGACTATTGCAGTTGCTTTCTAACTTGCCTTTTTGTTGTTCTAACCTGCCTTTCATGCTTTCTTTGTATTCTTTCATTTTGCCCACATCCATAAGTCTAATCTTAAAATAACACTTTTATACCCTCACTCAGTTGCCCAAAGACCTTCAATGCCTCCCCATTATCCACAGGATAAAAATCTTCCCTCCTTCTCCTAGCATTTGAGGTCCTCTACTATATCTCTAATCTACCTTTTCAGGTTTATTTTTTTTTATCTCTTTCCTTAACTGAGCCATCTGCTTCACCCACATTCTTCTGTTCACTGGTCCTTGAATCTCTCTTGTGCTTTTTAATAAGGTACTTGTGAAATCTTGTTCTTGACTGGGAAATTGATGCTGGGCTAGTACAGGAATCTTAGAATGGTTCAAGAGACAAGTTTGGGCCATGCTTCAGAGGAGGTTTCTCTGAAGCAAGCTTGAAACTCTTTTCTTCCTAGAAACATCAGTATCATCTGTGATCCTGGCAGGCACTACTTCATCTTTCCTTATTCTGAGGCACATTTGTATCCAATTATTTCATATAATTTCCCGACAATGCTTTTTGTTTGGAATGTATTATTTCATTGGTAAAAGAATCTCCTAATATGGAAATTCAATCCACTAGTTTAACTCTACCGTTGTCCTGTCATTTATTACAGTTTTAGAGAATTGTCCAGGGGTACCAAGAGGTAAAGTGAGTGGCTAATAATCACTCATAAATAGTGAGTATTTGTCAAAAGCAGGGCTTCAGCCCAGGTCTTCCCGACTTCCTGACCTTTGGAAGCAGTGTGGACAGTATGCTACACTGCCTCTCTACCCTCCAATCTTTTCTGAAACAGATGATGATTTTCTTTGTGAGCACTTTAATTTAATTAAATTTAATTGAGCATTTAATCAATGAGCATTTTATTTAAATCAATTTACTAAGAGTAAATATGCTTCGTGATTTTTATGGTTATGTTATATACATCCATGTATGTAGCATTTATATTGTTGATCCTTACAAAAGCAGTAGTTTGACCCATATTTTACTTCTGATTACTTTTCTAAATTCGTGTTAATCTCCAAAAACATTTAGAAATTTGTTTCCTTTAGAGATTTTCCTTTTATTAATCCCCTTTTCTCCCTGAACTTCTCTTGGGATAAACATTTTTCTGAATCATCTGGATTTGGGGGAAAGTAACAGCAGTAGTATTAACAACAGTAAATAATAAATAAATAGTAAATAACAGTAAAAAATAAATATCTGAGCAACTAGCTAACAAACAGAAATCTTTCACTTTGATAGCTTTATCAAGGCTTGTACTCACCTGGAAGTAATGAGTTCTTTCTTAATAACCTTGCTTAACTTCCATAATAAACATACGGAGAGGTGGCCTTATTACTTTATATGGATATGGGTGTACTTGCTCTCAGCTCAGGTGGTTTCATATATTTAGCACTCTGAAATTCTGTCTTAGGGGGAGTAGGGATCTAGAGGGAAAAGCTGTCACTTGGGAAACAATGCAAGGTAAGTGATGTGATTGAGGAGAGCCCAGTTTGATGAAGTAGGGAGAAGTGTGGAGTTCTCTAGGTTTCCTTTGTTAGGCAGAAATGACTTTAGAGGTACAATGCCAAGGTTTTTTCCTGTGGATCTGAGACCTACGAGGCCTGCCTGAAATGTTACTTTTTATGGGGATCATAGGTGAAAAAAAGGCCCCATTACTGGGTCTAAAGCAGTATACTAAAGCAGGATACTCTTCTTTAACTGGGAAAGCAGGGGTTAAGGCCTGGAGCTGGAAAGTTGGCTAGGCCTAGCATGTGTGTATATATGTATGTGTGTGTATATGTGTGTATGTGTGATGCTATCCTTAATTCTATTCAAATATGCAATCTTCCCAATGCTAATTTGGTGATAGTGTTATAGTTGGGATTATAACTTTATCTTCTTTTTTTCTCCCCCACCTCTCCTCCTATCTCTCTTTTCTTCTCTCCTCTGTCTCTTCCTCAAGGCCTTTCACATCTCATGATGAGTGAACAAGGTAGGTCCTTTGTGGTCATGTTTTCCTCTCTCTGCCTAGCCCCAGATCCTTTCACCTCCACCTCCACCTCCACCTCCACCTCCTTTGGCTGGTCATAGTAGACAATGCTGTTGCTGGCTTTTTGCCTGTACTGCCGTATGCCTAGCTGGGCAGGCTGGCTGCCCTGAGGTGCGGGCATCTACTCGAAACATTATGGTTCCTCAACATTCTGGATTACTCCTCTCTCCCCCCTCCATTCCCTCTGCTTTCTCATGCACCACTACCATTTGTCATACCAAAGGCTGTGTCCCTGCAGTGCTGGGGACTATGCCTCTGAGGAAGAAGCATGAAATGAAGCATGACAGTGGTGATAATGGGGGTGAATGAAGCTAATTTCAGAGCAAGAAAACTGGTAACTCCCTTCCTTCCCTTTCTCCCTCCTTCCCCTGTTGGGGGTGGGGGTGGGATATTTTAAAAACCCCCTTTCCCTTTGTCTTCTCCCTATCGTTCATTGTCCAGTATAATCACTTTGAGATCCTATCTGATAAAATGCATCCCTTGAGGTTTTATTTTTATTAAAAAATATGTATATGCATATGTATGTATATGTATATGTATATATGTGTACATGTATATAAGAGTAACACTTGCAAAAACATGTTAATGCCCTCATGGCATGATTCTAACTCATCATATACCCAGAAGAAAACTGCATATAAAGGTCTGTAAATTCAGCATCTGCAACTTAAAATATTCAAATATACATGGAATAAAATGTGCATGGAATTCAGCTCAGCTAAGCACAGGGTGGGCTGTGAATGGGCCTTTAAAAAAATAAAAAAATTTTCCACATTATCAACCTAAATCAAGGTTCAACAACTGAGCTTATTTTAAAACTATCCTGTTAAACACACACACACACACACACACACACACACACACACACACACACACACACA